GGACATGAAACAACAAGCAAGACACACGCAGAATGGTACTCATAACATCATAGCCAAATCAAGCGCTGGACTGCCAGATTCAGTAAGCGGGCAATTGCCGTCCGTTTCGTCCATGAGAAGAACTGTACAGCGGGCGAGGCAGAGAGCTACAACCCCACTGCCGGCCCCAAGTCGTTTGGACGACCTTAGGATTCCTGAAGAATACAAAAAAACATGTACAGGTGATCCCTTTCTGCTGAATGACGGCGGCTCAGGAAAAAATCGGATTTCATTTTTCAGCACGGAGCGAAACCTGAATTTTATGGCAAATTGTGATCACTGGTATGCTGACGGCACATTCAAGACCTCACCTCCCCTCTTCGCTCAAATGTATACCATTCATGGCGTGAGGTGTCACAACGTGGTACCCACCGTTTTCGCTTTGATGCCCAACCGAACGGGAAATACTTACTCACGCGTGCTCTCGGAATTGAAAGCATTGAGAGCAGGTTTAAATCCTGCTTCAATTCTGACGGACTATGAACAAAGTGCCATCAGTGCCTTCCATGCTGAGTTTCCAGCTGCTAGGCAGCGTGGTTGCTTTTTCCATTTCAGTCAATGCATTTGGAGGAAGATACAGAACAGTGGACTCCAGGAGAAATATGCTACAGACCCAGACTTTGGTCTAAACATTCGACAACTAGCACCATTGGCATTCGTTCCCGAAACAAATGTTGTTGCAGCCTTTGAAGAGCTAGTGGACTCTGAATACTATGCGACGAATGAAGCATTGCTGCGTCCAGTCTTGGATTACTTCGAGGACACTTGGATTGGGCGCCCGATAGGAGAGGTCAGAGAAGAGAACCACTGTATTCCATCAGCTTATGGAACTGTTATGAAGCTGCTCGAGATGGATTACCAAGAACAAATGATTCAGTCGAGGGATGGCATCGTGGCTTCAGCCAGCTCCTTGTGGCTAATCATCCTTGGAAGTTTATCGATTGCCTTAAGAAGGAACAGAGCCTGAATGAACTCAGGATGGAGCAATATATTGGAGGACAAGACCCTCCTCCGAGCTGCAAAGTTTACAGTCAATGCGCTCTCCGAATCAACTCTATTGTTTTGGATTATGAGCAGCGGCCCTTGAAAGAGTACTTACGCGGGATTGCGCATAATTTCAATCTCCAGGTGTAGTTTTGATCCGTGCAATGCCAGGCTCCTCTTTTCAACATATTCTCCTTATCGTTGCATAAAGCTGATATCTTATTCTAATTCTTTATTTTTTTTTGTATTTGGCCTCCCTTGATGTGGTTTGAAATCCTTTTGACTATCGACTGTGTGCGTCAATAAAATTCAGAAAAAGTCGGTACTTTCATTAAGAACTGCAACCAAGTAATATATTATAGACGGATGATTAGCACCAAAATGCTTGCTGAAGCCAATATGCCATCCTCAACCTGACTTCTATCAGTCATCCTGGATTGATAGTCGATTGCAGCAAGGCCCTTCGGAAGATGCGTAACAGTAGCGATCTCAAAAAAAATTCTAAGGGAAAAAAAACTTGTCGACGTTTCATTTCGTCGATGTTTTGACACGTCGATGTTTTTGTCCCGTCGATGTCCTGTCGTTTCGATGTTTTGGCGTCGATGTTTTGACTTGGAACCCATAACTACCTATTGTGATGCTGCAGAAAACTTCAGACTTTGGATGTAAATGCCCTGGAGGCACAATATTCAAAGAGAGATGCTTTCAACTATTTTTTTTGCATCAGTGAAACTAATGAACATGGAAAGCTGAAACTTTCCATGAATGTGACAACTGACACAAGGAGTAAAAGAAAAATGTTGAGTCTCGTTACATCCCCTGAGGGAATTTTTTCGAGGTGCGACGTCTTGAAAAAAAATTGTCGTGGCGAATTGGATGGAAATGAAAAGGTGAAACTTGGCACACGTATAAGTGATATGATATTACTGAGCTGAGGGAATATTCAGCTTCCATGGTGCACCCCCTCCGGGCATAGCGTTAGGGTGAGTCGGCTTTTCCAAACAAATTTTTTTCACCAGCGAAAAGGGCAAACGTATAATATTGAAACGTTGTGGGCATGTAGCTCACTGAGGATGTATTTCGGTAAGAAAAAAAAGGTACGTTTCGGTTAAAACGGCTCAGGGCACATATTTTGCAAAGGCGTATTTTCAGGAATTTTCTGAGCCAGCAAAACAGAGGGCGCATGAAAGTTAAAAAACTTGGCAAATAAGTACCTGATGGATAGCTGCCTAAAGAAAAAATTCTACATTCCTAATATATATAGACGATCGTGACTGACTGACGCTAATTCAAAGAAAGGGAAATGTATGAGGCTGAAACTGGGTGGCATGGAGTTCCCTGAGTCTCCATTTCAGAAGAAAAAATTTGTTTCGCTAAAACCAATCAGTGCTATTTTTCCTTAAGTCCTATTTTCCTGATTTTTTTTTTTGATTCAACGAGACCGAGACAGAAAATATAAGCTTCCCTCAGAAGTATCTGCTTAATGGCTGAGTTCAGGAAAACTCCTACGTTTGAAATATGTCTCCTTAGCGTAGATTATTGGAGGGAAGTATTTCAAAATGTTAATGAAAGATGCATGAATGCGAAAGTCAAGAGGGAAATACTTTAATTTGTTTTTCTATGAGGCCGCAGCGGTGGACAGCCCTGTGAAGAACTTCCACGGCTGATTAAGGTTGACGGATTCTCGACTGCTTCCACTGCATCGGCTGGTATCTCAGTTGTTATCTGCTCCGGTCAAATTTTGAAATGCCACTGGAGTTTGGGAAGAGTCAAAAGGGGAAGTAGCTGCTTTCCCATTCTGGGTTCACATATTGCAAGGAAAAGGAGAAAGGCAGCAAGATATTTTGGAAATGTACTCAGTACTGGAGTCATAAATGCCGTGGCAGATGCCTTACAGATGGAGATCACATACTAAAAGCAAGTGAATACAACCACGTTCCAGAGTGTGCAGCAGCCTGAGCAAAGGCAGTGTACGAGGACATGAAACAACAAGCAAGACACACGCAGGATGGTACTCATAACATCATCGCCAAATCAAGCTCTGGACTGCCGGATTCAGTAAGCGGGCAATTGCCGTCCGTTTCGTCCATGAGAAGAACTGTACAGCTGGCGAGGCAGAGAGCTACAGCCCCACTGCCGGCCCCAAGTCGTTTAGACGACCTAAGGATTCCTGAAGAATACAAAAAAACATGTACATGTGATCCCTTTCTGCTGTATGACGGCGGCTCAGGAAAAAAATCGGATTTTAATTTTCAGCACGGAGCGAAACTTGAATTTTATGGCAAATTGTGATCACTGGTATGCTGACGGCACATTCAAGACCTCACCTCCCCTCTTTGCTCAAATTGATACCATTCATGGCGTGAAGTATCACAACGTGGTACCCATCGTTTTCGCTTTGATGCCCAACAGAACCGAAAATACTTACGCGTGCTCTCGGAATTGAAAGCATTGAGAGCAGGTTTAAATCCTGCTTCAATTCTGACGGACTATGAACAAAGTGCCATCAGTGCCTTCCATGCTGAGTTTCCAGCTGCTAGGCAGCGTGGTTGCTTTTTCCATTTCAGTCAATGCATTTGGAGGAAGATACAGAGCAGTGGACTCCAGGAGAAATATGCTACAGACCCAGACTTTGCTCTAAACATTCGACAACTAGCATCATTGGCATTCGTACCCGAAACAAATGTTGTTGCAGCCTTTGAAGAGCTAGTGGACTCTGAATACTATGCGACGAATGAAGCATTGCTGCGTCCAGTCTTGGATTACTTCGAGGACACTTGGATTGGGCGCCCCGATAGGAGAGGTCACAGAAGAGAACCACTGTATTCCATCAGCTTATGGAACTGTTATGAAGCTGCTCGAGATGGATTACCAAGAAAAATAATTCAGTCGAGGGATGGCATCGTGGCTTCAGCCAGCTCCTTGGGGCTAATCATCCTTCTGTCTGGAAGTTTATCGATTGCCTCAAGAAGGAACAGAGCCTGAATGATATGGATTACCAAGAACAAATAATTCAGTCGAGGGATGGCATCGTGGCTTCAGCCAGCTCCTTGGGGCTAATCATCCTTCTGTCTGGAAGTTTATCGATTGCCTCAAGAAGGAACAGAGCCTGAATGAACTCAGGATGGAGCAATATATTGCAGGACAAGACCCTCCTCCGAGCCGCAAAATTTATCGTCAATGCGCTCTCCGAATCACCTCTATTGTTTTGGATTATGAGCAGCGGCCCTTGAAAGAGTACTTACGCGGGATTGCACATAATTTCAATCTCCAGGTGTAATTTTGTTCCGTGCAATGACAGGCTCCTCTTTTCAACATATTCTCCTTATCGTTGCCAAAAGCTGATACCTTATTCTAATTCTTTATTTTTTTTTTGTATTTGGCCTCCCTTGATGTGGTTTGAAATCCTTTTGACTATTGACTGTGTGTCAATAAAATTCAGAAAAAGTCGGTACTTTCATTAAGAACTGGAACCAAGTAATACATTATAGACGGATGATTAGCACCAAATTGCTTGCCGAAGCCAATATGCCATCCTCAACCTGACTTCTATCTGTCATCCTGGATTGATAGTCGATTGTAGCAAGGCCCTGCGGAAGATGCGTAACAGTAGCGATCTCAAAAAAAATCTGAGGGAAAAAAAAAATTTGTCGACGTTTCATTTAGTCTATGTATTGTCACGTCGATGTTTTGCCTGGTCGATGTATCGTCTCGTCGATGTTTTGTCACGTCGATGTTTTGTCATGTCGATGTTTTGTCCCGTCGATGTTTTGACACGGAACCGGATTCCAATAGGGTAAGAAGGATTCTGAGCATCTATTAAGGGCTAGTTTCTTATCCTCTTCTTAATCTAGAACTCAATTGCAAATAATTTCCAGTTAAAGAGGCTACATTTAGGGAAGAATAAAGTATACAACTCTTGCCCAGGTCAGTATTTTGATATCCGAAAGGCTCTCCTTTGGGCAGAGTGTATAAACATGATGGTGTATTTATGCCTGAAAACTTAGGCTTTTTATGTTTCTAATCCTTAGACCAAATTGTTTGGGAGTCAGCTATGGGATGGGATGCCACCTGAAGGGGATCCTGTACCTATTGATGGAATGAGCAAACCAGGCATTGTCCATCCAGAGGGACTTGTCCTCTTTGGGAATGATGGCAAGATGGTAAAGTGACCATTTTTTTAATAAACATTTTCAGATAGTTCTGAAATTATTCCTTGTCAGCCAAGTCCCAATTTCATTATTGCCTGGAACAGGTGAATGTGCAAAGAGTGTCTGTGGAGGGTCAGATGATATATGCACAAAATTTTGGGAAAGCCGAGGCTGTGAGACCTCGGGTGGAACTCACAGATGCTGAACTAGAAGTGCAGGAGAGTCTGCGATCTGTCTGGCAGGCAATCCTCAGCGTAGACGTTGATGACAAGACCGACTTTTTTGCTGCAGGAGCAGGATCTATGGATGTTGTCAGGTGAGTTATTTTGATGTCGTCAGTGTTTGGCCTAGAGGCTGGGAGAAGTGAGCAGAGTTGAAGCATATGCCCCCATGAAGGTTGGTGGAGGAAGTGAAGGACAAGGCCAAAGTGGAACTTCAGAATGAGGAGGTGTACATGGCAACCACATTTGAGGACTTCATACAGCTGGTGGTTCAGACAGCCCGGGGAGGAGGTGGTGGTGGGAGCGTGGACATTGAATATGATGCGGTCCGCATGCATGTCAACAACATGGACATATCCTTCCCTCATCAGCTCTTCATTGATGGAAAGTTTGTTGACTGCACCAATGACAAGAAGCTCCGGTCCATAAATCCCAACGATGAGAGCCTAGTCTGTGAGGTATGTTTGGTGAAGCATGAAGTATGCATGTTCCTATGTGTCTCTTAGTTGCTGTTGGTTATAAAAAGTAAATTGCTTTGATAATAGTAGCTGATGGAAACTTAATTTTTTAATTGTAATAGTTAACTCTTTCTGAAATTTAACTTGATACAAATCTAGGTAATAAAAGTTGCACCTCACTTTTTTACACATAATTTTAATCTTCAGTCTCTTTGCATTTTGATCGACTAAAGCTTTAATGATAAACATTATAGGACCCTTTCTTGCACATTCCTCACCAATGATGGTCAACAAGGAACCAAATAAGGAAAAGAGCTAGAGTAGCCAAAGACAGAGTGGCAAGTAGAAAATATTTCCACTCTATTCAGAGGCAATGTGTCACAGTGACTTGTTCCCAATGGAAATTCTTGGATGCACAATGTAGCTTTTAACCTGTGAAGTTCCTTGAAAATCTAGTTCATGTCAGGAGTAGATTATGTCTTCTTAGTTATGGCTCATTGCTATTCTTTGTGATATGTGTTCTTGCCATGTTTAGGTGGAGTCTGCTTCAAGAGAGGATGTGGATAAAGCTGTATTGGCAGCTGAGAAGGCCTTCAAGTATGGGCCATGGGGGAAGATGAATGCCCGAGATCGAGGGAAACTGCTCTATCGGTGGGTTTAAGATAACAATTCCTAACCCCAATGGTCTTGCATGTCGCATGTTGTTTGTGCATGGCATTGTGTCTTTCTCATTGACAGGTGTCCTTTCTTGAATCGTGGATTGATTTCCACAGTCTTGATGCTGTAACGTCATCCTTCATTCTGGCTTGGGCACAGCCTCTTTTAACTCTATGTTTTCCCATATACCATTTCAAGTTGATGGTCAACAATGATACAGGCAAGAATGGGATCTTTTCTACTGGGGCTCTTTTGCATCTGGAAATTCACTTTTTTTTTATAGGTATTTTGTTAGCTTTGAATTTCCATTAATGATGTCACTTCTCCCACAGCTTGGCTGACTTGATGGAGGAGCACAAGGAAGAGCTGGCCACAATAGAAAGCATAGACTCTGGTGCTGTCTACACCCTGGCACTGAAGACACACGTTGGGATGAGCATCGACACGTGGCGGTATTTTGCTGGCTGGTGTGACAAGATCCATGGTACCACCATCCCCATCAACCATGCTCGACCAAATAGGAATCTCACCATCACCAAAAGAGAACCAATTGGGTAAGGTTTCCTCTTTCTGCACTTGTCTGCTGGTGATTGTGTGCTGATGGGGAGCATGATATCATGATACCATTTCAGTGTGTGTGGTCTGGTGACTCCTTGGAACTATCCCTTGATGATGCTTTCATGGAAGATGGCTGCTTGCTTGGCAGCTGGAAATACTGTTGTGATTAAGCCAGCCCAAGTCTCTCCCCTCACTGCACTCAAATTTGCAGAACTCACTGTGAAAGCTGGAATACCTCCAGGAGTTATCAATGTCTTGCCTGGAGCTGGTCAGTTCTCTTTAATTTCTGAATTCCTTACTTTATGATGATGGATAAGTTCAGAGTTTTTTTTAATCCCATATACAGGTACCTTGTGTGGGAATGCAATTGCTGAACATCCACGAGTTAGGAAACTGGGCTTTACGGGGAGTACAGGAGTAGGCAAGATCATCATGCAGAGCTGTGCTGTGTCAAATGTGAAAAAGTGTTCATTAGAACTTGGAGGGAAATCTCCTCTAATCATCTTTGCTGACTGTGATCTAGATCGGGCAGTCAGGCAGGCAAGGACCCAGCTGAAATTCATCCTGCTACCCTATTCATGCCTTATTACAGTGGCTTCACATGACCCTTTTGTTGCATTTGCAGGCCATGGGAGGGGTCTTTTTCAACAAGGGAGAGAACTGTATTGCTGCAGGTCGACTCTTTATCGAGGAGTCAATTCATGATGAATTTGTGAGAAGGGTTGTGGAAGAAGTCAAGAAAATGGTCTGTCTAGCCATTCCTTGGAACAGCCTCTCTTTTCTCTTTTTATGCATAGGACATGCAGTAGACATTTTTAATTACACACAGAGAAAACTGAGAAGCTTGCTTAGTTCAAGCACCTCACTCACAATTTCTCAATTGCCCCTCCATGATGCTGTAGGATGCCTTATGGGTAGCCCATAAGTCACCAAGGGCCATGATGAGCAGGAATAAGTATTATGGTACATTATTTCTGTATCCCCTAGAAACGGTATGAGAGTAGTGAGTGTCACCTTTATGCAGCACTAGGTAGGTGCATTGCAGGTCACATGAGATCACCTCCACCTGGGCTTGAATTCCTGCTTCCCAGATTTTACTCAGAAGCCCTAACCACACACCCACTGCACCTGGTTAACCTCTGAACTGTCGTACCCAACCAAGTAGCTAGAAAAATGGTCTAGGTGATTTATGTTATATATTCAGTAATATTTGAAGAGGTGTTGTGGATATTGTACCAGGATGGATGCCTTTATGTGTCATCCATGAAGATGCCATGTACTGCCAATCTTAAACATAAAATTAGTGGAAACTTACTTGATACTTCATGCTCTCCCTTGCAGTATTGCAGCACACTACCTGAATGAGATCAAGGAAGGGCTGTCAGTCTTTTTTGCTTGATATTAATTAAATGCTTCAAATGCCTGTGGTAATTGTCATGATGGTAGGAGGAGCTTGCTTTATTTCTCATTATCTTTCTGTATTTTTTATTTATATTTTCCTTCAATTCTCACTACTCAACAACCTGGACCTATCCACAGCTCTTTCATGACTGTGCAATTGTCAAAATGTATTTTTTGCTGGTGTGGGATACTGTTATGAAGATACAATTATTCTGCCTGATTATTTAAACTCTGAAGATTGAACATGGCAGCTTCAATCACTGTGTACCTCATCATTTTGTGGTTACAGGCAATAGGTGATCCTTTGGATAGAGGGACAGCCCATGGCCCACAGAATCACCGGGCTCATCTGGAGAAGCTGATAGAGTACTGCCAACAAGGTGTGAAAGAGGGAGCAACTCTGGTCTACGGCGGGAAGCAGGTGGATCGTCCCGGGCTCTTCTTCATGCCGACGGTCTTCACCGACGTTGAGGATCACATGTACATCGCAGAAGAAGAATCTTTTGGTCCAGTGATGATCATCTCAAAGTTCTACGATGGAGACATCGACGGGGTCATCCGTCGGGCCAACACCACCGAGTTCGGGTTGGCATCGGGCGTGTTCACCCGAGATCTGACCAAGGCCTTGATTGTGTCGGAGCGTATTGAAGCTGGGACCTGTTTCGTCAACACCTACAACAAGACTGATGTTGCAGCTCCATTCGGCGGCTTCAAACAGTCGGGATTCGGCAAAGATCTCGGTATGGTTGTCTGTCTCTGAGTCTATTGAGCATCTTTACCTTACCTAATGTTTGTTTTTGGCTTCTTTTTTTTTCCAGGTGAGGAGGCATTGAATGAGTACTTGAAAACCAAGACCGTCACCTTTGAGTACTGAAAATTTTGAGAACTGTACAGTTATGGGGGTCTCAGTTATCTCTTGACCAATTCAGTCTATGGAGGCCATGCATCAGGTCCATTTGACTTTAAACCTATGTTCATGAGGCCCAATGATGAAATCAGATCAGTTGCATGGTCTGTGATGTATCTGTCATATTGCAAATACCAACAGGTGTTTATAGAAAGATGTGTTGATATCTGAACTGGTGTTGAATAATCCCGGTTGACAGGTGGTTGAGACTGGTTGACAGCCAGTTGAGACTCGGTGTCCCAAATAAATCAGCTCATCTTCATGCTTGTTCCCTGGAAGGGAACAGTGCAAACTTTGCATCGCCATAACAAAGAAAGGGAGTGTTTTCTTTATCATGTTTTGAACCCAAGAAAGAAACAGGGTACATAATGAGCAGAAAAGAAAAGGAGAGAATGTCAGAAGAAAGAGGCCATAATTAGGGCTTGCATTTTATGTTCTCACAACAATCAATTGTCCCATTCTGGCGAACAAAGAGATTGAAAGTGAGTCTGAGTTTATCACCCAGTGAATCATAAAAAAAGAATTAATGAGAATAATGTCATTCAGAGACAAGGTGAGGAGAGGATTGAGACCCGCCATCGTGCCATTATTGTCTTCTTGTGCCATTATCCCATTATTATCTTCTTATGCCTTTATTGTCTTGTTATATTGCTCTCATGTTAATGGTTGCTGTGTTTTTTTTTTGGTGTTGGTTGTTTATTGCCATGTCTTCTCTGACATGCCTAGGTTTTCTTTTGCTTTATTGCCTTCATGTTGGATAGGCTTTCCTGCTGAGTGCACACCAAAGGTCAATCTCCCTTGCAAAATATCGTAAATGTTGAAAAAATATTACCCTTCCCTGTACACCGTGCGATGCCCGTGTATTTGTGTTGGCTTGATTTTTTTGCACGTCAGAAAGACTGCTATGGAGATTGACCTGCTGCGTGCACCTGGTTGTTTTTGTTGCTCTTTTTCTCGCCTTCCCATGGTGCCAATATATTTTTTAATTTTTCTATATACCCCAATATCCGCCGTGTGTCGGCTTAGATAGAAATCAGTTGAGATTTATGTGTTTATGCATTGCTGTATTGCTTTTTCAATGAAAGCTCAAATTGTTGACTATATCTTGTGATATCATCTCCAGAATCGCCATTGAGTTCACTTCTACGTCTCGCATACAAGTACACTTGGGAAGAAAAAGCAAAAAATGCAGTACTTGAATAGTACATAGAGAAGATCCATGAGAACCGTACAGGTATCGAAAAAATGAAAATGCCAAAGTGCATTTAATGCTTTCATCGACGTTTCCTGGGGCTACTGCCTCAAAAGCGATTGCAAAAAAATGTGCCTTTCCCCATGTCACTTAAGAACCGTGTCTCCGCTCGACTTCCTCGGATGACCCGAAAGTGAAAGGTGACGTTTCCAATCGCATCCAGGCGGCACTTTTCCACTCAGCCGCGGGAGAAAGGGAAATCGACATCTCCTTCGATTTTTTTCTTTCGCATCGAAGGCATTCCGCCGCGTTTTTCCCACCGAGAACGAAAGCGTGCCGGGAATTCGCTGCCCCGGATTCCGTCGCCGATCCCCCTCGGAGCCCGACATTGCCAACTCCCATGCGGGCACCGATTGCGCAACCCGACGAACTGCGGTTTTGAGGGCCGTAATTCCCGATCCCGCTTCGTTCATCCCCGATGCGGGCTTCAACTCATCCCAGAATTGTCTCGGAATTGCAACACATCTGTCCAGCTTTTATTTTTATTTATTCCATTCTTTATTTTAAATATTTAGTTTTTTTTTTTTACTTTTTATTTATTTTATTTGTATATAATTTTTTTTTTTTTTTTTTTTTTTTTTTACCGAAGAGATCCTGATGTTATTTACCGTTCTCGATATGTTGAACCTCCCAAGGCCTGAGTGGCACTTCCACGTGCCAAATCCTTATTATTTTCATTTTCTTAATTGTCTAGGGAGGTTAATGGAGACAATTCGTACTCAATAACCTTGAAAAGTCTTCCTGGTGGTTCTATTAAATAATGACAAGTCCTGCTCTTTCCCACCCTTGCAACACATAACACACGAAAGCGACAAAGTTTAGTTTCGCAATTTTTTTCCGCATTATTTTCTGCCTATTCCGCATCCTTTTTTCGAAAGAGTTTTTTCTCTTCAAAACAGAATTGTCGCGAAATTAATTTTACTCCTTATCTGTTCCTAATACTGCGACAATTTCGTTCCCTATTTAAAAAAAAACTAATTTGATATTTTGTACAGGTCAAAGATAACCGCATCCCCAAATTCGTACAGGGTGTTCCGAAAGTTCCCGACCCACCCGCACAAAATGCGGCTAAATGCTGTTAGCCGCATAAATCGGGCGTCATCGCCTCATTGGAGAGAGAAATATTTATTTATAAATATTTATGCAAGAGTTGGTATCTAAGGTGTTCTCGCCCTCATGGAATGTAATTAAAAACTGATGTCATTATCCCTCGTGTTTATCTCCATTTTTATTTAAATAGGTCTGGACATTTCACAACACCCGGTAAAAAAAAAAAATAATAATAACAATAAAATAATAAATAAATCGCGTTTGTTTTTAAACCGATCTACATCCTCGATCGTCGCACGTTACGCGTAACGGACCCGTTGAACCCGGGTCGACATCCCAATGGAGGTCCCTGGAGCATCCGGAGGACCTTCCGCGGACGTCCGCGGGACGCCGGGATGGAGGCGTCCCCCCCCCCCCTGCCTCCCTTTCGATTCGCGAGGAATTCCTGCCGGAGGAGGCCGAAAGGAAGGCCGAGACTCGAAGGCGAATCCGCCGATGCGGAAGATCCGCTTCGCCCGAACGACGCTCTGTGGGAGAAACGCGGAATCGCCCCCTTTTTTTCTATTTCGTAGGTGATTCAATGAAAAAATAGAGAAAATTTGATGAGAAATGGAAGAGAGTGTGCTTTGGGCATCCCGCAGATTATCGATAGATTGACGTATCGTTGAATGAACGCCACTCGTGAGGCGAGACACTCGAATCCCGCCAAAAGTCCCGGAAACCGGACGCGATCGTTGGTCAAATTTCAGCAGAAGAGAATCGGGGGAAAGTGCTTTCGGTTTCCTGCAGAAAACAAAAAAATCCGGAAAGAATTGAATTGAACTGAATTGGATCGAATGGAATCGGCGAAACCGTTGATGGAAATGAGAGACTATGTTTTTGATTTTCGGATTCGTGATCTTATCCCCGGATAGAATCGTACTGAACAATTTCAATGCTCAAACTTGAAACCTCATGACCTGAGTTGGCGAAAGCAGGTGAGATGAGGTGAGATGAGGTGAGGTGAGATGGTTCGCATTAAATTCGAGGAGTTTCGAGACCGTCGATAAACCCAGAGATAATTATGGTTTGCATTAAAAGGATGCTTGGATTCGGAGAAGTTTTCTGTAGGAGGCGCGGAGGAAGTTGCTGTGTCTGCCTGGAGACGGCAGTTCCGTGGAACCGGCGGATGCAGAGGCGTGAATCAGGGATGCCGGCCCACGAATCAGGCCTCTTCGCCCACGAATCACGGCGAGGGCGAATCCCTGTCGACGTGGAGACGATGATGCCCCAGGGATTTGCACGAACGTGGCATTCCTCGCCGTTTGCCGCATTTAGCAGACCAATGATCTTCGTAGCCGCGAATCGAGACGCGAACCGACCCACGCGTTCGAGCATCCCTGGCTCGGCATCCCTGGCTCGGCATCCCTGGGGACCCCATCGCCGCTCACTCCGAGACGGAGAGAGCGAAGAGTGTCCTCGCGTCTTCTAGGCCGAGTGTCGAAGTGGTTCATCTTCTCGAGTGAGTCTCGCCCAGCAAATTAGGATCATCCTCATCCAAAACTAATCCTGGAATCGCAGAAGCACCCGCTTCTAATGCAACCCCTCTGGTTCCATTTCTTGATCGCATTCGACCTGGAACGTCCGGGAAAATTCAACGCTCGGAACGCAGAGAAAAATAAGTTTTTTTTTTGTTTTTTTGGTTTTTTGGCTTTTCAACCTCCCGATCGAGTCTCTTCCGCGTCTCGAATGTAAAGCAGCTTATCCATCTTTTGCAAGAGCTAGCTAGAAAGTGGAACTCCTTTTTTATTCGCCCCGGAGACCCTGGCCTATGAAGAAACCTCAAAGACAATCGATCGTAATAAATCCGTGAGCTTCTGTCGATCGTCACTAGATGTCTCTGGTGGGGGCTCCAAGAGGGTCACATCCGCGGTTTCCCATTTTTATTTGCGGTTTGTCTATTTAGGTTTCGTGTCGCTCCGGCGATTTTCGCTGCTGTCTGCTGAGGATGATATCATCTGAAATTCTTCACTCGTCCCGTTTTTTTTTTTTTGAACTGTTTGACCCTTTCGGACATTCCGATGGACGTTGCGTTTCCATTGTTTCTATGGTAATTTCTTGGGATTCTCGTGACTTTGCGCCCCACGTTGCACTACGGTGGACTCAATTATGCATGGCTCGATTGCGTCGTCCCGTCAGTTTTGTAATCTTTAGTTATGTAATCGCATGTATGATATGCAATACATATGGTAAACTTATAGAAAATACGAGAACAAAAATATGAAAACGAACATAAAAATGTGAAGTCGAATAGGAAAAGAGCTCAAAAATGTAAAAAAAATTCTGATTGTGGTCGTAATTCAGGTCTGAAAGGGTTAAGCTATGTAGAAGAATATCTCTTGAATCCGTCGCAGTCTGAAATATATATATAATATAATAATATAATAATATACGTGAGGTCTTTAAGCCGACCTGCCTTCGACTGGATCTTCCGAGTCCATTCGCCCGGCACGAATCAGAAAATTGCTCAATGAAACGCGAAAAATGCGCATGAAGTCGTGAATATTTCTCTGCCTCGCCATAATTCCAACCCAGATGACTCACCTCCGCGACCGGAATGACCTCAGCCACGACCGGCGAGCGACGATGACAACGCAGACGATAAATCTGACCGCACAGCCGGTAAATCCAGCCACAATCATTGAGAAACGCGCCCAGCTGCCTCGCGCGAACGACCGAAGCCCTCGCGCGAACGACCCTGGCGACTCGGTTCCCGAGCTTCGCTCGGCTCTTGCTAGATGTCTCTCGCGGAGGCATCTAGGGAGAGCCTGCATTGTCACGCTTGTTTCTCAGAAGTGGATAAGATACGCAGTTCCGCGTCGACAAAAGAGACGACTCGACCACGCCTTTTGCTTTTATTGCCAAGGACGAGCCCTGCCGACCAAGACGACGCAGATCCTCGGAGACGCCCGCGAATCTGAGCGAGACGCGCGGCGACGAGCGAGTCGAGGCGTTGACGCGGGCGACGAAAGTTGCAGTCGATTCTACCTCTTCCTGAACGTTTTTTCTCGCAACATGGGTTGGTCGTGGCATAATTCATAATTAATTATAAATAATTATTATTATTAAATAAATAAATAATTTTATTTATTTATTCGTTGGAGTCGGAACGAAAGCCGCAGGTACCACCTGTCACATTTTCGAGAACTTTCAAGAGACTTTCGCGAGAAACGGGAGATGTCGAGTCATCCGCGTTTTCGCAGCGGAAAATTAAAAAAACGCGGGAAAAAAAAATTGGTGGGAACGTCGTCCCGATTTATACGAAGAGGAAATGAGTCCCGGATTCCTCTTTTCGTGAATGAACCCGAAAGGCAGGAAGCGGATAATCGAGTTCATCTTTCACGGACCATCACTTTCATCCTCGTTTTTTTTTTTAAATATGTAAATGGCGAAGGACGTCTAATTTTTCACTTGCGGTTTCGCTGTTATTGCGGTTTGGAGGCAAAGGAGCCGGGCAGAGGAGCGAGGCAGAGGAGCCGATCGAATTTGATCTCATTGAATTGGATTCGAGGAAAACGAACGAGTTCATTTCTTGGTTTCAGGTTTCTGAGCGCATTTCCTCATATTCTTTTTATTTTCAAGCAAAAAAGAAAAAATCGATCTTATTGGTTTTCGTTGAGTTTATCAGCGGGTTAATCTTTTTTTCGGTTTTTCCGAGTCCAACGTCGTAATGAGAAAGCGTAATGCCCTCTCCTTGCATTTTCGCAACGTGCGGCTTCAGATGCATTTACATGATGCTCCTCTTGCAATTAATCTTTTTGA